CCCCAGATCAGGAATCAGCTCGCAACCTCTCAACACCTGAGAGCAGGGAGGGCGGCCCAGGCGGGAAGGGTTCAGCAGCGTCATCGGTCCAGGCCCCCTTTTTTCATGAAAAGGCAGTGACCTGCCCCAAGTCACAGTGCACAGCGGGTATAGGTCACAGGCCTCCAGCCTCACACACCTGAGCTCTGGTGACCCCCCCCCCCCCCAACTGTGCCCGGCTTCAGGCGCTCCGTCAGGCTGATCCAATGCAACTCACGGTTCTGGCTGAGACGACAGTGGTGGCTCCACTTACACCACGTTTTCCAGGGCTGGAGACCAAGCTGTGTTGTTCACACATGTTTATATTTCACCCCACACCAGGCTTCTGTAGAAACATTAAGTAGCTCACCCCAGGCACCGCCACCCACAAGCAGCAGGTGTGGCATTTGAACCCAGACAGTCAGATTCCAGAGTCCTCGGTCCTGACCTTCCATTGGTTCAACAGGTCTCCTCCAAGCTCTCCTCTGTCTGCTTTGGTGAGCCATGGGAGAGCAACAGGAGGAGGAGACGCTGGCCCTGGCATCAGGGGATCCCTATCTAATTGGGGAAACCAGGTTGAGCAGGTTTGAGAGAGTCAGAGATCAGTTCGAGAAAGTTGAGCAAAATTGAGTAGATGACTCAGGGAGATGGGAGGTCAGGGGGAACTGGAGCCATCAGGAAGGCTTCCTGGAGGAAGCAGATGGAACAGGACTGTGGAGGACAGGGAGGTTTATTGAGCCCTAGAGAAGCAGTGAGGCCTTCCAGGGATGCCCTCATCTGGCTCCCAAGCACCCAACTCTGATCTCTCAGATCCCTTATTAGAAGAAATGGAACAGCCCTAGAGAGGGCTCTAGAAGGTGCTGTTGAGCAGGGAGAGGGACGATCAAGACGGCAGAAGAAACAGAAACTTTCCTGACCCAGAGGGAGCAAGCACCTGACATTGTTGGGGATGAGCGACTGACAGGAATGCTTGGGACTAGAGAGGGAAAGGGTCGCTGTGATCCAAGACTCTGGGCCTCCCGTCTGTGATGCCCCCAGTGGGGCAGGCCGTGAGGAGGACTGTGGCTGTCACTTCTAAACCCCTGAGCCTCCCACCCCACCCTGACTGCCCCACTCCTGTTCCGGGGTTGGCCCAGACCCATGGCGTGCAGACTCCGCTGTCTTACCATTGGCAGCTAGAGCGAAAGCTCTGCAGACTTCAGAGCAGGATGATTTGACAATATGTTAACAAGTTTTGTTTTTAAACAACCACAAACAAGGGCAGCCAGAGCCACTTAGTCTGGGCTGTGGAGGAAAAACTCCGCCTGGCATACGTGAGGAGGAGTTTTGGCAAGCGAAGATGCATCTAATCAGGGTAGGCAGCCAAGCAGTGTTAAAAAAAAATGTCAATGATATATTGAGAAAAGAAGTCTCAGTGTGTTATTTCAAGTTATAAACTTGTTTAACAGAAAGCAGACTATATATCCCTTCCAAATTACTGAAAGAAAACATAGATCTTACAGTAAAAGATAGAAAAAAAATAAGCAACAAGGAAGCATTAAATCAGAAAGTAATATGGCAGAGGCAAGATCAAACATGTGTTTTAATAATAAATGTAACTGGATAAAATTCATCTTTTAAAAGAAAAGGACTCTGAATGGATTTTTTTAAAAAGCTTCAGCTATTGCTCTCAAATGACAATCCTGGAACACTGTGACTCAGAAATATTAAAAGTGAAATAATAAGGTATTTCAGGCAAATGAAAACAATGACAACCAAAACCAGAGTGCTTTTGTTATCGCTTCTCGGCCTTTTGGCTAAGATCAAGTGCAGAGAGCTTTTGTTTGTTAATATTAAACAAGGTTGAGTTCAACGTAAAAAGCTTGAGATATAAAACAAAAAGGACTCCTATTAGTTATTGACAAAGCAAAGAGAAAGAACAAGACAATAGGAAATCTAAAATATATATACATATATATAATTACTAAATCTGATCTAATAATAATAATAATAGCTAACACTTAAATAGTGAGTCAGACTCTGTTGCAAACATGTTACAAACATTAATTCATTTAATTCTCACCATAGGTATTATAAAGCCCATCTTACAGATAAGGAAACTGCTAGATATAGCAAAAAAGAAAGATTAAAAACAAACCCTTAGAAATGTAAAGGTCATTGTAAAATAAACCTTGGGGTAAACAAAAACTATTTTGCTGGTAGATTCGTGGGTGTTGATTATATTAATAACTAGGCAAATAAATAAAATAGACTATACATGGACCAGAGATGACAGTGTGCTATAAATCACACATTGTGACTCAACCGGTTATGTCCACCTGAAATCTAGAAAAATAAGAAATGAAAAATAGAGGTAGAAAAAGAAAAACTGTGCTTGGGGGGGGGGGGGGAGACTAGAAAATAAGGACATTGATAATATTGCAGGTGAGATTCAGCCAAAGCTGTAATAAGAATAAAATTCAGAGACTTAAACAATTTTGTTATTCAATAGAAAGAATGTAAATTAATTACTTAACTCAATAAATTAGAAATATAATAGCAAAGTAATCTTAAGAAAAGCAAAGGAAGTGATTAATAAAATAAAGACGTAAATTAATAAATTAACAAATAAATAAAAAGCAAGACTGATAAAATTTCAGAGTAAAACAAACAAATAGAAAACCTCACATCTCCAAGAGTGGAATCTTTCACATTCTCAAGGAAGAAAATAATTCCAGTCCTATTTAAAATATTCTAGTATATGAAAACAAATGGAAAGTCTACAAATTATTTTTATGAACACTAAATAATGCTGATTTTTAACAGCCTAAGCATAGCAAAAGGAAAATTATAGACCAGTTTTCATATTCCATACTTATAGTGATGCAAAAATCCTAAAATATATGCAAATAGGATCCAGCAATATATTTAAAAGCTCAAGTATATCAAAATGATACCATGTTAGAAAATCTATTTATACAATTAGGACAAAGATAGGAAATTATCTCAACAAATTCCTGATTTTTAAAGCTTTTTCTGTCCAGAACAGAAATAAAATAGATTTCCTTAATTTAGTGAAAAACACTCTCAAATTAACTTCTGTCATCATCATTAGCAATAAAACACTTGAACATTTTTATTAAAGTCAGAAATAAGAAAAGTGATGATTTAATTACTTTTTAGTTGTTGTTCATTACTTAATAGTAATCTTGAAGTACTAGCCACTGCAAATAGTGAGGAAAATTAAGCATACAGTAAAAATAAATAGAAATGTATCATTACTTTTAGATAACGATTGCAGAGAAAAATGTTAAAACTTATAAAAAGCATTATATGGCCAATCATAAAATATATAAAGAATTGTTGCTATTGTCGTTGTATACGAACAGAAACCTTTTAGTCACAGGTAACATTTCTCAAATATTCCTAACATGCCAGGCATTGTAAATAAAATAACTTGGAATAAATATAACATAATATGTACTAGTGGCCCGGTGCACAAAATTCGTGCACGGGGAGGGGAGGCAGGTAGTTGTCCCTCAGCCCGGCCTGCTCCCTCTCCAATCTGGGACCCCTCCGGGGATGTCTGACTGCCGGTTTAGGCCCGATCCCTGAACCGGTAGTCAAACATTCTTCTCACAATCCGGGACTGCTGGCTCCTAACCACTCGCCTGCCTGCCTGCCTGATTGCCCCTAACCACTTCTGCCTGCCAGCCTGATCACCCCCTAACTGCTCTCCTGCCGTCCTGATCACCCCCAACTGCCCTCTCCTGCTTGCCTGATCGCCCCCAAGGCTTTTATTAGTATAGATAAGAGGCACATGAACTTTGCTAAGGAATGTAGAAGGAGACAAATAGGTAAGTATGCTATAAATATATGCTAGTGTTGGGTAGGAAGGCTGTGTAACAGTTAATAAATTTAATGCAATAACAATAAATTTCCAACATCTTTAAGGGAATTTGCAAAAATTATTGCCAAATTTTATCTTGAAAATTACTAAAAATGACCAGAAAAATGTATATAATATTCAAGTACAGGTAGAGAATAGAGTCACATAGAGAAGTCTGAAATTAAGGGTAGTATATGATAAAGGTAACTTCTGTGGATTGTGAAGTGGATTCTTAAATAAAGTATTGGGACAGTTGACCAGTCACTCCGAAAAATATATTAAAATGTTTGCTCTTTACCAGAATTAGATTTTTTAAATTGTAATATAATATACCCTCGATTTTGCGGACCTCGATTTAACAGACTTTCGATTTAACGGAAAAAAATTTCCAGTCCATATGTCGTATGTGAAAATGAATACCCTGTTAATTTTTAAATGCTTTTAACCAATATTTGTTTATAATTAAATTAACAGGTTATTTTTTGGTTATTAATTCGCTGTTATTTTTAACAAATTTTAGCAAATAGGCCATATGTTAGAAAAAACACTGTAGTAATTTCACCAACATCAATAAATATTACATATCGACAACTATCGTCTACATATTTAAAGCCAAGAGTCACTGCTGTAAATGAATGACTAGCACGTGGTCAAACCACCTGGAGGACAGGGATGGGTTGTATGTCACGTGGTGTGACTTTCTGCAGCAGTTTTAACCGTGCTGTGTGCTAAGCCACGCCCCAGCTGTGTGCTAAGCCACGCCCCCGCCGTGTGCATTTGTTTACTCTCAGTGACCAGGGAATGCAGGCATTTGCTAGACCTAGTCTGTATGCATTTTAAACTACTGTAATAAATATAGAAAACTTTCCTGTGAAATTTAACTTTTCATGTGTACTTAATTTTAAGTACACACATGTGTCTACATAAGTAAAAACAGGCAAACCAAATAATTTGTCAATTCTTTAACATAGGCATTCAGAAAACTTACTTTATTCTATAAAGGACTTTCGGCTTTAACGGGCACCCCTTCATCCAAATTAGTCTGTTATGTCGAGGTTTTACTGTAGAAAGCAATGAAGCCAGAAAGTTTTATGTGTTTTTTTAAAAGAAAAGAAGGGTCATTTTTTTTTTTTCTAGCCTTGGAATAGGCAAGGGCTTTCTTAACATGATGCTAAAGGTTTTACTAAATGAAAATCATAATAAATGATCTAATTATATTAAAGGACATAATAAAGGAGGAGTATAGAACTTCAATATGGTATCAGAGAAAACTCTTTCTTGAACAACTCCCCAAGTCCATATTGGGACCTGAGTTTCCTGTGGCCCTGTGTACACTGGCCGGATTAGCCACGTGTAGGGCTCAGCAGCGCAGGCTCGGGCACTGCGGACAGCGCTGGCCCCTGGACTACTGCTGCTCGCGGGACCCTGCAGTCAGCCAGGGAGGCCCAGAGCCACAGGGGGAGGCCGCTCTCAGGGCCCTCGGTGACCACCTGGGAGGCTAGAGGTGGCAGAGGGCATGGGAGCCACGGGGGTTTCTCTGGTAGCCCAGGAATTTGGGTTGAGGCAGGAATGAGGAGGTGCAGAAAAACAACTCTGAGCGTTTTAGAAACGTGGACGCCTCGATGCTGGACTGCAGGGGGTTTGGCTGCGTCTGGTCCTGTGTTTCCTAACTTCACAGTTACAAACTGTCCCTGCCACCATCTACGTCAGGGTTTCCTTAGATCAACTCTGAGCGTTTCTGTTTGGTTTAATATACTTATTCTAAAGCAGCGGTTCTCAACCTGTGGGTCGCGACCCCTTTGGCGGTCAAAGACCATCCTGCATATCAGATATTTACATTACGATTCATAACAGCAGCAACATTACAGTTATGAAGTAGCAACGAAAATAATTTTATGGTTGGGTCACCACATGAGGAGCTGTATTTAAAGGGCCGGAAGGTTAAGAACCACTGTAATCTAAAGGGAAACTTCTAATGATTGTTGCAATCAGAAACCAATATTCTTTCCTATGAAAAGTAGGTAACGGCATACAGGAGAGTGAAAACAAAACCAGTTTTATGTTGTTTCCTGCAGAGGGCTGTGAGCTGAGCCTGCACGCCCTCCCTCGTTAAAATGGGAGCTCAGCAAGTTCTAGAAAGGTCTTTAAAATGCCCTAGGCCCCCCCCCCCACCCCACCCCCCAAAAATAAAAAATTAATTAGTTAATTAATTAAACAAAATGCCCTGGCCCAGGACTGAGACTTGCTCTGTAATGTGAGGGAAGAAGTGTTCTCACTACACTCCGCCCTGTTGTCCGCTCACCACGTCAGGTCATTTCCTGGCCCGCCCATGGCCCACGCTCCTGGGAGAGCTTGCTGGCCTGTCCGAAGCCAACCCTGGACGAGTCCCCTCCGCTAGCGTCTCAGCCGTGCACCCCCGCCCCCCTCCTCCTGGGTGGCAGTTACTGTGAGAGTTGATGCCTCGGGCAGGGTGGCACTGGCCGTGGTCGGGACGCCATGGGCCCTTGTCCCACCTGGTCCGCAGGCCTTCGAGGACATCTACCTGGAGGAGCGGAAGACCATCAAGGTTCTGCTCGAATACGCCGACAAGATGTTCACCTACGTCTTCGTGCTGGAGATGCTGCTCAAATGGGTGGCCTACGGCTTCAAGAAGTACTTCACCAACGCCTGGTGCTGGCTCGACTTCCTCATCGTGGACGTGAGTGTGGCCCTGGAGGGAAGGGTGAGGGGAGGCCATCGCCAGCGCGGCAGGGGCTGAGACGGAGCCGAGGGACAGAATGGCCGGGCTGCCGGGAGGCCGGCTAAAGTGGAGACACTTGCCCTGACCGGTTTGGCTCAGTGGATAGAGCGTGGGCCTGCGGACTGAAGGGTCCCAGGTTCGATTCCCGTCAAGGGCATGTACCTTGGTTGCAGGCATATCCCCAGTAGGGGGTGTGCAGGAGGCAGCTGATCGATGTTTCTCTCTCATCGATGTTTCTAACTCTCTATCCCTCTCCCTTCCTCTCTGTAAAGTGGAGACACTTGGCTATGCCCTGGTGCGGGCAGAGGGCACGGAGGCTGGGGTCCCGCGGAGAGACCCAGGCCCTGCTGTCCGGGAGGAAGAAGAGAAATAGGAGACCTGGGCCCTGCCGTAAGAACCCCTAATTTGGGGAGACAGAGGAGCAGGGAGGACCTAGGCCCGGTCCTCGGGAGCCCCCTGGCTTCGGGGGGGAGGCTAGACTCACCATATGAATCGGTGAAGAGCATTGCAGGCCGGGTGTGAGCCAGGGCAGGAGTGGGGCCTCACCCTCCCGGCATGGCTGTGCTGTGCAGGGGCCATGAGTATGTGAGAGTCTGTCAGGCCCGCTAGCCACGGGGCCAGGGTTGGTGCAGAGGTGCTGGCCCGGCAGGCAGGAGAGGGCCTCCTGGCTCAGGGAGATCGGACCACCTGGGGAGCAGGAGCTGGCGGGGAAGGGAAGTGGGGGAGGGGGAATCACCTGTGAGAAGGAGGAAAGCCATGAACGCTGACCCAGGGGGTCTGGGGGGCTGCCCCGGCCGATCAGGCAGCTGGCAGGGCTTGCCTGCCCAGCCTGTGTCCAGGGAGGGCCTGGAGCAGGAGGTTGCACCCAGTTGGCAGAGGAGTAGGAGGCGCCTACCCCACAGCTACCCAGGACCCTGCTGGGTGCCATGCAGGGTGCGTGCGTGCAGGGTCCCGTGGGGGGTGGGGGAGGGGCTGAGCACAGTCAAGCAGGAGAGTGGCCAGAGGCGGGAACTGAGCCGGGCGTGGAGCAGCTTGGGTCTGCGCTCCCTGGGAGCAGAGGAAGCCCGGCAAAGACCAAGGGCTCGGGTGAGGGCTCCCTCGGGTTGTGGTGGGTCCCACAGAACAGAAGGAGGCCGGTCCTGCAGGCTGGGACGCACTCTCCAGAAGTGACCCGCGGCTTCTGCGATCGGCCTCGGGCCCTGCCCAGCAGCGGGGGCTGTCCTTCCTGTGGTTGCAGAAGAGGCTCCGGCCTGTGCTCCGTCCCACACCCTCTCAGAGGCCCCAGGAGGCCAGGGCCAGGCTGAGCGGAGGTCAAGCCTTGAGTGGCTGTGTCGGGAGAGGCTGCGTGGGTTCGAGTGCATGTGGAGATAAGATCGGGTCGTTGGGCCTGCAGTCCAGGCCTCTTTCTGTCACCCTGTCTGTGGCTGAGAGGGTGCTAGTGCTGGGGTGAGGGGGGTCCAGGGGGAGAGAGGCGGGGAGAGGCAGCTCTAGGTGCCCTTGCAGCCTGGAGCCCTCAGAGCCTCCTGGGATGAAGGCGAGGACCCTGAGGCCTCCCTGCCTGAGACGCTGGCAGCTCTGCCTGGAGGCCGGTCACCCAGCCCCTCACCCAGAGGTCAGGCCTGTCCCCGGGCAGCCCGAGGAGTCTGCTGAGACTTCTGGGGGGGCCCACCCACACCCCACCCACACCCCACCCACACCCCACCCACACCCCCACAGCTGGAGGGAACTCGTGGAGAAGGAAGCCGGGGCTCCCCGCAGGGAGGGCCTTGCCCAAGGTCAGGCAGAAGGTCGTGAGTGTTGGAATCCCCCTCTCCTGACATCGGCCATGCTGCCCCCACCCCCACCCCCACAGCTGGAGGGAAAGGCGGGCTTCGGGCCTCAGGGTCAGGAGAAGGATGTTTTCAGGGCAACGCGTGCATTTCTTCAATAAACACTATTGAGCATCTGTGGGCAAGGGCTAGTGTAGGTCCTGGGGGCCTCGGGGAAGAAAACAGACAAAAACCCTGCCAGCGCCGAGGAACAATAAACCTAATAAGTAAGTCAGTTTTATATTATGTCAGAAGGTGATGTGGACCATGAAGAAAAAGGAAGTAGGGAAGGGGTTGTGTAGACACGGGGGTGGGGGGTGGGGGAATGGGGGGAGGAGGGTACATCACAACTTTAAATAGGCTGGCGGGAGTGGGCCCACTGGGGGGACATTGGGGCAGATTTGAAGGAAGTTGGGGTGAGCCAGGCAGATGTCTGCAGAACATTCCAAGCACAGGTTGGAATGGCAGTGCCAAGGTCCTGTGGTCAGTGTGTGCCTGGCACACTTGAGCTACGGGGATGCCCGGCCGGCATGGCTCAGTGGTTGGACCAGGAGGTCACGGTTCAATTCCCGGTCAGGGCACATGCCTGGGTTGCGGGCTCGATCCCCAGTGTGGGGTGGGCAGGAGGCAGCCAATCAATGGTTCTCTCTCATCACTGATGTTTCTATCTCTCCTTCTCCCTTCCTCTCTGAAATCAATAACAATATTTTTTTAAAAAGAGGAGCTACAGGGAGGCCAGAGCACTGGAGCAGAGTGAGTGGGGAAGGGGGTGCGGGAGATGAGACCGGCTGCACGGGCAGGAAGGGCGCCTTTGGAAGACGGGGCTTTTATTCAGAGTGAAACGGGAGACCTGGGAGGCTCTGACCTGACTCACGTTATAAAAAGGTCCACCCTGTGGGTGGGGGGAGGGAGCCCGAATGGAAGCAGGG